TTCCTGAATTCCTCAGGGAGGTGCCAGTCTCATCCTCTTTTCTCTCCCTCTCGCCCCCGGAGGTGGAAGAAAATGTTTTTCTCCCTGAGACTGGCCTTCATAATTCCATTCCATCACAATTCTTGCGATAATTCATGAAGTACCCAAAACACAGTTAGAAATGAAGAGATGGATGGGGATGCAGGTAAGCATACTTTCCCCATTGTTGTACTGACACCTTTAGATTCACATAACAGCTTCCCCAACCTAGTACTCTCTTGGAGTACTGTTGGATTTTAGCTCCCCTAATTCTCATCCAGAATGGACAATGCATGTGGAGGACCTAAATTCAAGAAAGTTGTAATAGATGAAGAACTAAATATATGAAGTACTCTGTATATTCATATAATAAGACAGCCTTTTCCAAATTGTGTCTCCAAAGGTGTTCCATTACAACTCCCATTATCTTCAGGAACTGAGAGTAGTGTCTGTTTTTAAAGAGACAGTTGGCTCTCGTTAGATTGAAAACTGATTCAAGCAGGTCTGATACATGAGCTGACGGGAAGCCTAGAAGCAACTGTTTAAGAAATCATGTTATGTTGATCCAGGTGCCTTGCCCCATAACTGTTTGGATCTATTCATTTAGCAGATCCACATCACATACTTTTGTTTGCTTTGAAAATAGGGATCATACAAAATTCTTTTACAATCAGATAGTCCATTAGATGGAGACTTATTTATAAAATCCCATTTGGATAGTATCTGTGAAATTGATGGCAATAACTTGCATGTATCATATTAAGATTAATTCAGCTGCTAGGGTTGCTAAGTCTAAATCAGGTATGTACAACACATGCCGCTCTCCAAAGCCAAGGGTGACATTTGACTACCTAAGTGTCAAATTTAATGTGATAGAATTAATTATTAAATAGAAGAGTCATCTTGTTAACAGCATTTAATTAATTAATTTACATTTACATTACATACATTTTAGTTTATATACTGAGCCTGTTCACTTTTTTAAATATGCATTTATTTATTTATTTATTTATTTATTTATATTTCAAATTTAGTCACCACCCATCTCACTCAAAGAGTGACTCTGGGCGGTTTACAATAAACCATAATAAATACAGATTAAAATACAATAAAACAATGTACATAAATAAATAATGTCTTCCAAGGCCCTGATGGTAAATAAAGGTTATTAACCTATGGGAGCGTCTTCAGGGTGCTAGCCACCCCCAGGGTTGGTTATCCTTCCTCATGCCCTGCGCAAGTTGGCAGAGCCAGATCTTCACTCCTTTCCAGAAGGCCAGGAGAGTGGGGGCCTGCCTTACCTCTGGGAGGAGAGTGTTCCCTAGGGTGGGGGCAACAGCAGAGAAGGCTCTTCTCCTGGGCCCCACTCATCGACATTCTTTCATATACAGTGTCCCTAATGTAGCTTCTCTGCCTGACCGGGTGGGATGGGTTGATGTAATGGGGATGAGATGGTCCCTCGGGTAACCTGGCCCCATGCCATGTATCTTTAAAGGTAATAACCAACACCTTGAATTGGATCCAGAAGCAAACTGGCATCCAATGCAGTTCTCATAGCAAAAGTGTTACATGTGCCATCCTTGGGGCACCCAAAATTGCCCGCACAGCCACATTTTGAGCCAGCTGTAGCTTCCAGATACTCTTCAAGGGTAGCCCCATGTAGAGCACATTGCAGTAGGCTATACGGGAGATGACTAGGGCGTGTGTGACTGACCAGAGGGCCTCCTGATCTGAGCATTATTTTGAGCAAGGCTGAGTGATCCTCAGTCCAATAAAAGCTACACACTCCTGATCTAGGTAAAATAAAATATGGGAGTAGAGTGTTAGGAGTTTGGATTTGATTGATGCCATCAAGTCAGTGTCAACTCTTAGCGATCACATACATAGATTTTCTTCAGGACAATCTGTCCCTAACTTAGGCCTTCAAGTCTTCACAGTGTACTGATCACACTGTGACTGAGTCCATCCACCTTGCTGATGATTGTCCTCTTCTTCTTTTTCCTTCCACCTTCCCAGCATCAGAGTCTTCTCCAGAGAGCTAGGTCTTCACATAATGTATCTGAAGTAGGATAATTTGAGCCTGATGATTTGTACCTGGAGTGAGGAGTTTGGGTTATAGACACTTTAAAACAACCTTGCTTATTTCTAGTTTCCTAAGGAATATTGTTTTGATTTCTTCCTTTCTTGTAGCCAACATCCATGAGAGCCATTCGTGCCAGGTATGATCCTTATCTCCAGACCAGACACCGAGTTGAACAAGTAAGGATTTGTTATGGGAGAATGGGATGATGCTGGGGTAAAAATAAAGCAATTGAGTTCTTTGTAGCTAAATACTGAAGCTTAGTCTTCGACTATGTCAATGATCTTAAAAGAAATATATTTATAAAAACCAAGATAGCATTCATGGAAATTAACCAATTGGTAAAAGGCTCTTTCACATAGGAAAAGCATCAGTAAAAAATGAAAACTGAACCAAAAGGAAAAGATGCATTTTAATCTCCTTTGGAAAATGGGAAAATATGAATCTCAGGAAAAACATTTATTTGGTGACCTTGGAACTGATACCAAGATTCCTGCTTTTCTGCTGTAGCACTTCTTAAATTGGAAATTGCTGAGACATGGAGTAGGACCTAAGAAAATCTGGCACAGAGCCATTATGAGGAGAAGTGCTCCAGGTTATCAGGGGCTTTGTAGATAAGTATTAGTGCCTTGATTGAAACCTGGTAGCATAGTGGTAGTCAGTCCATTTGGAACAGGAGTGGATGAATATAATTACCCTGTACCTTCTAAATTAAGCTTGTGTGGCAGCCCATGTAAACCAGATTTTATTAGTCAAAATTGGAAGTTATAACAGCATGAATTTACTACAAGTTCCTGACTGTCCAAGAAATAGTGGATTCAGTTTATATAGCAAAAGGAACAATTACTCTCAGCCACTGCAGCAAATCATTTGTCCAAAGATCAGGGCTAGATTAAAAATTGCCACCAAACTCTGAACCTTTTTCATTGAGAAGATTACAACCTCTTTGAGAGGGAAAGAGATCCTGTATGTCCTACATTGCCTGGACTTCATAGGTCCACATCAACTTCTTGAATGGTGACCTGCAAGCCCAACAGCAGAGCTCTTGTGCCAGATGTTAAATGTGATCCACCATATTGTTTCATAAGGAATTCAAAAAGCTGCCTTATACTGAGTCAGACCATTTATTTTTTTAGCCAAAGATTATTTATATTACCTGCCAACAACTCTCGGGAGGCTGAGTAGTAGTCTTTTTCTACAAATTTCCAAATACTATTCATTATATATATATATTATCTTTAAGAAATCCTTGGGATGGGGAAGGCAAGAGTACTCTAAATATTCTACCGTATCCCTCCATACTCCTGGTATATCCTGGACCATTAATGATTAGAGATTAAGGAGAGGCACATAGACACAGGCATTAGCAGAACTCCAGGGAAGACAATTCCAAACAAGACGGGCTTGGGAGTTAGATGGATAGTTCCAAGTAAAGCCAGTATGTTGCTTGATGTTGAAGGCCATTCGATAAGGAGTCTAAAATAAAATTGCTAATACCATAATGCTTGTTTTATATAAATCTGTGAAGTAACCTCACTTGAAATATTTTATAGTGTTCTGGTGATCATACTTAAAAATATGTAGTAGATTTTGGCATGGTTCAGAAGAAGGCTGATCTTATTTTTACAGCTGAAGCAGCTGGGCCACAGCATAGACAAAGTGGAATTCATTGTGATGGGTGGAACATTCATGGCTCTTCCAGAAGAATACAGAGATTACTTTATCCGTAATTTGCATGATGCTTTATCAGGTCATACTTCTAACAGTGTGGCAGAGGCAGTCAGGTAGGTACCTTATGCAGCAGATATGTTGGTGTATTGATTAGTTTTGTATGTTAGTTTGTTTGTTGTACCTGAGAGTTGCATCATATGGATGTCCACAATGAAAATTCCTCTGGTGTCTTAAAAATTTTCTGGTGCTGTTTAAAATATTAAAGAAATATATTGCTAAAAACATTAACATAAAGACCAACAGTGATAACAGTGCTTAACTGTGGAAGCTGTTGTACTGGTAATTGACCAAAAGACTACTAAAGAAGGATCAAGAGCTTGCACAGAAACTGACTGAATGTGTCTGTTCCTGCTGACTAATTCGCTTTCCCTTGTCTGTACCATTGTTTATTCAAGGAGGGAGAATGAGAATCAAGGCAAGAGTTGGGGAAAAAGAGATAAAGTTTTATGGATTATCAGCAGATAAAAATTGTGAAATAATTAGGTCAGGATAGCAACTACCCAAGAGATCTTATGATGATAATCTAACAGAAATATGGAACTTGCTACTAGCATTGGCCTCAACAATTAAAAAGTGGCCAACGTATTGCCCATTTTAAAATAAGACCAAGGGGAAATTGAATTAATTAAAGATCATCTTGAATGAGTTCTGTCTTGGGTAAATTGGTAGAAAGCAGTATTAGTTTTATTAACTATAATAAAATCTATAGAAGAAGGATCAATATAGGTTTTGCAGAGGTAAGGCAAACCAGCTTTCTAGAGTTCATTGAGTGTGATATGAATGGGAATAATCCAGTAAACCCTTCTAAGAGGTTTTGGTTAAGTCCTTCACCAAATGCTTCTGAATAAATGTAGCCTTCCTGGAATATATCTGTAGGTAACTTCATGGAACAATAATAGACTGAAGTACAGGTAGTAAAGTATAAATAGGTAAAATGTACTCATTTCCATGGTTGAGGAAAATTTTTAAAAAGGGAGGGTTGTGTTTTTAAGTAGTTGGTAAGTGATTTGGAGTTGGTGGTGAGTAGTGATGTGGTCCAGTTTGCTAATGATACCTAATTAATTAAGGTGTAAAACAGAAATAAATTCTGAAGAATCCCAACAAAGTCTAAACTGGGGGAAAGGACAATAAATAACAATATGGTTCATTATAAGTAAGTGTAAAGTGAAACACTTTTTTAGCAAAAAAAAATATATTCCTAATTCCAGATATAGATTGATGCAGACCAGGATAAAAATATTGTGGTTATGGATAGCCAAGCCCTGGAACTTTGTCCCAGTGTTCAGGAATGATGAATCTCAAGTTAAAGATCTTTAGGAAGAAAACTGAGAAGAAAAATCCCCAGTATTGTAAAGCCTTTGTATTTATCCATGATGCATTCAGCTCGAAAAATACTTTTCTCCATCATACCACTAAATATGTCTACATCTGTATCTAGTAGAGCTGGAAAACCAGATACCTAAAACAAATCTAATGGCTGCAACAATTTTTAAAAAGATAATGAAACATTTGTAGTGTTTTATTTAGTAAAATAATGACTTGGAAGGGAGGTAGAACTGTCTAAAATTGGTCATTTCATACAGAAGGCAGACAGAGGTAAGTTTTCTTCTTGCTGCGGATTATCCACTGACAGTAATGAGTAATGGTCTCAGAACAGTAGGTCTTTGCGCAGCAGAAAAATAATTTTTTAACATTGGACATACAATGGTGGCTGCGCCTTAATAATTTTAAAGGAGGATTTGATAAAGTAAGTTGTATGAAAACCAAGGTTGGGACTACTGTACCTCTGAATATCAGCTATTATGAAATAAATATGAGGGAGATTCTGTGCTTATAGAAATATCTGGTTTGATGTTGTAGCAACAGAATGTTGAACAGATCCAGCAGAATGACAATTCTTATCTTCTTAACAACGCAACAATTCAAAATGACATGGAATAAATAGAGATATAAAGCAACTGGTATCAAGCAATAAGACCAATAGAGCCTGGCAGTTGTTTTGCTGGAAGAGCCTTGGAGGGCCTTAAGGCAGCTGCACTGAACCTTTGAGTGGCTTTATACTTTGACTTCACAGATCACAGGTCTAATCCATAGTCATTTGTGACAGTGAAGAGGTGTCACTGAAATAGCTACTTTTTTCTCCTGTGAATTTTGAGTACAGTTTTCCAGCCACACAAGGGTGTGCTTTTGTTCTTAGGGGAAGACACCTGGATCTCCTATCCCCCATTCAAATCCTTTCACTGTTTTTGTGGGATTGCTGACCAGTTGAGTGAGAGAGTTGCTTGTGCTTTATTGTACTTTTATCTCTCAGATCTTTCATATAATTTGGGGGACATACTTAAGATCTCTCTCCTTTTATCCTTTAGCAGAAAATAAAAGGTTCATGGGCATTAGTGAGATTCACAGGCAAGGTGAGAGGAATTTAGGTCTCTGCCTTTGAAGTCGAAATGATTATTGTCCTTCCCTAAAACTCAGATAATTTTTTGTGAAACAAGAGTGTAAAACCATGTGAAATAGATACAGTGTTAGTTCTAGAATTTAACAGTTTTTTTCCTCTGGAGGGCAGCAGATACTTAAAATAGTTTGTTGGGAAATGTTTCCATTTGATTCCCCAGAGTTGCTCTTCAGATATGACTTGACTGTCATAAGTCAAGTAGAAAAAGTATTGCATGGGGAGGAATCCATATCTTTAGCTCTTTCGCAGACTGTTGAGCTGGCATGCTGCCAACAGGGGTCTGGTGTTCATGAATCTTTCTTGAAGGCAGTTGCTTGAAACACTCAACTTGAACAATTTGCTTGTGCATGTATCCAGACTCAAGAGGGTGACAGCAGCTCTACAGAGAAGAGCCCATAGATGTGTGGTGGGCCTTTTGAGTGCAGTGTACTTCCATGATCAAACTCTGGTTATGTCCAGGTATGGCTATGAAAGATGCAAGTCAACAAAAGGTCACTGCTAATTAGCATAGACTAAGGTTCTCTTATCTAGTGCCTCTAGATTTGTTGGATCACATCTCCTGTAATCCCTACACAGTCTAGGTTGGCATATCCATAGATAATAGCAACCTAGCTGGAATAGTCTGTTTCCAATGTTCTTACATTTCAATGACAAATGATTCTTTTTATGCTGTTTTACTGCTGCTTTGTTGTTGTTTTTCTTGTATCTTAAAATTCATACTCTTTTGTAGAGGTGTGCACATATGTATATATAAGAAAACCAGCAGTCAGAAACATAGTTGTCAGCTTACAGCTGAAACCCCAATGGAGGAAAAGCAGAGAGCAGGTAGTGGTGATAATAGATGAAAAATGTATTAATTATGATTGACATGTCCTCTTTCAATGCAAGATATTAAGAAATACTGGTAAGTGCATACATCACGCTAACCTATTATCTGGTTTTTTTTAGTTTTGATTTGTTATAGAATGTGAATGTACCTAATTGCAGATATTTCAACAAACCATGGTTAAAGAAACCAAGTGGTTAGTACAAAGTGCTGAATCAACCATTATTAATTAAATTGGATAAGTCTTGTGTTGTCTCTGATCCCTTCAATAAGAAGGGATCTAGTAGCCCCTTTTCAGACTAAGGTCTTCTCATTTTATTAAGGCATAAGGTTTGTGAACTATAGCTCACTTCATCAGATGCAGTGGAGTGGCTAGATTGATGTCAGATTTAAATTGGAATGAGGCAGAAGGGTACTGCTGATCAATTGGGTGAAAAACTGCTTGTATTATCACCCTTTCATCATATTGCATGTGATGAAGAGAGTTACAGCTTACAAACGCTTATGCCTCTTAATAAAATTTGTTAATCTGAAAAGATGCTATTAGCCTCCTTCTCATATTGGGCTACCATATACTAACACGGCTCTCCTCCTGCAATATCTGATCCCTTCATTAATCAAAATAACCTAGCAGTACAAAGAGATTGTCAAGTTGGTAACTGCCAAGAAAGGAAGCCTCACGGCTTTTATCAACAAGTGGCTCCATAAATGTACTGTTTTACTTTAAATATCACATATACAGTACTGACTGCCAGTGTGGTATAGTGGTTAAGGCATTGGAGGTGGATCAGGTTCAAGTTCCCGCTCAATTACAGAGGTTACTGGTGACTTTGGGCTAGTCATACTCTCTCAGTCCAACACATCATGCTGAACTGTTGCAAATGTTAAATTTGGAGAGACCTCCCCATATATGCTGCATTGTTTTCTAAAAGAAGATTGATTTTGAAATCAAATTCAAAGAGCAAATCTGTAGGACGGAGTTGACGAAGCATCTTCTTTAAATGTCTTTAAGGCTACCTGACTGAAAGTGATTCAAGATGCTTTCAGTAGGTTTTTAAAATGTGACTTGGGACCAATACATTAACAGCAGGGAGGACACTTATATTTCCTGGAGATACTTCAAGCCCAGGTTAGATGCAGGGATAGGATAACCAGTGAGTTTTTCCAGGGGCACGCAGTGTCTGTGTAGCTAGTATGCCTGACCTTGTTCTCCCGAAGAATCCACAGAGTGTATATAGCAATGTAATGCAATGCTCTGTTTTTGTGTCTTATAATATAAGGGCAGCAAACTTCCATTTCATCATTATATTCTTAACTGAATTAATTGATCAAACATAAATATGTCGTCCTTATTGCTAGAAATGCTTTTTTGAAATACTTAAGGAAGTATAAAAGCTTAGACCTAGAATTAAAAAGAGTGGCCATTCCTTGTTAAAGGTAAAGGCTGTCTTGAATGTGTATTTTTCTTATCCATTAACAATATTCTGTGTTTACCCTCAAAGGAAATTGCTTGATCAGTATATAGGTATGCATGCCTGTTAACAACAGTGTATCAGACAATTGTCCTCTTTCTCTCTCTCTCCGACAGTTTTCATGATAATCAGTTTAAACATTTACAGATGCTTAAGTAATTTAAACAGATATTTTTCAGTAATTTCTAAGAACATTATTTTGGCAGATGGGAAATCTCAGGTGGCAGTATAAGGGCATAGTATGACTTTTAGAATGGCACCAAAGGAGGAGAGCAGCCTTTCTCCACTTCTGGACCTTCA